CTTACAGAGTTTCACACAATTTTTTCACCTTGGCATCGTGAAGGGAAAATGTTTAAGAAGGACACGAAAAGTAATACGATTTCTTATATCATTTCTTTGGAAGTCCTTCACATAATAAGAATTCACTCAAGACATTTCACTGAAAAAAAATTTCAGGCATCAGAACTCTTGCAGGCTGAAAATAAAAATAGCAGCGAAGAACATTCGTGATAAACATCGCTATTATAAACTTTTCATGCCAAGAAACACTGCAGATTGTGCAAAAATCAAACATAAGCATAAAAAAAACACCCAGAAAAGCTGTTCTAAGTGGATTCTTACAGAAATGTCGGTTGGAAACTTACGGGATTTATTATAATTTGAGAATCAGTGTGGAAACAGCCAAAAACTTTCTCGTTCAGAAAGTGTTAAGAAGTAGTATACAGATTTAAGACATATTATCCTCTCATAGTTGGAATGTGCAGTTGCCAATAAATTCCTATCGGTTTGCTCCATATCCCAAAACGAAAATGAAATACTTTGCAGTCAAATAGCTAAAATAACAACAAATGCTTCACTACGAAGTCACATTGTAAACTTGGTGCAATTTCTTTTCACTTTATTGGAATATATTCTTCTTAGTCCAAAAGAAATCCCCAGCACAGCAGAGAAACTCTCCTAAACATTGTCATCGTGAGGATATTTTAAATTTCCACGCCACCCCCAAGCAAAGAATGTCTGCAGAAGAAGGCGCGCCCCTTTTCGCGAATTATTGGTTCGTTTATCTCCGCCTGGCACACAAGGTGCTCCGCTGTCGCCCTTCACCAATGTTCGCAATTGCACGAAATTAAGGAGCGGAATAAAAAGCTCAGATTTGCGAAAATGCTTCTTTGACGGAGACAGCGCGACATCCAAAGAGATGGGATGTAAATATATGTAGACGTCTGGAGGGTGAGAGACAACACGGGCATGATAAAAATATAATTTGATCGAAATCCTCCCTGAAATGTTTTCACTCACTCCACAGCGCACACTCGAAGCATTTTTCTCTGTTTTTCTCTCTCTTTATTTACTTCCCTGTCATCACTGCAATTTCATACTTCACGGTCTCCTTATTAAATATTTAGGATAAAGATTTATACATCGCACTATTAGTCTAATGATGTGTGCATTTACTTATTTCCAATTATAACTATAAAGTCTAAAAGAAAGTGAAACAACGCAATTGTAGCCCATCGAATCTTGCATGAAAGTTGTAAGATCAAGTCTAATCAATAAAGTTTGAGATGCAAAGAAATGTTGATATGTATTTTTCATTTTCAAAATATGTTTACAATTCATTAAAATATATGTTTTGCCCGAGGCGATGCTGTGAAAATCACTCAAAATACCAATAAAAAATACTGAAATATAGAATACCGCAGGAAATGATGATTTGTTTTGTGTGCAAATGACATTTTGCTAGGAGTTTTCGTGTATCTCAAAAAGTAAATACTCCCAATTTTGATCGATGTTAACTCAATAATCTCTCCAAAGTTATATTTCCCTTCAGGGCGGAAATCTCTTCCTCTCCATCCTTCGCATATATCTTATTAGAATCTTCTCCTCGAGCCCAGGCGCAGAATGAAGAGCATCAGCCAGACACACGAGATGGAAATTCAACTCCTATTGTTCAAAAGACATTCTCACATTCCATCCAAAGCATTTCTTTTGATCTTCCACAGCGCACAACATTGGGGTGGCATTGGCAGTTTCAGAGGAAGATATTGGATTCCAGTTCTGCCAATTTTCACATTAAAATTGAGGGATTGTGTGTGCGTGTGTGTGTGTGTGTGTGTTGAGAAATTGCTCGCCATGGCAAAATACAAAACCGTACAAATGTCTCTCTGGGGGAATTAATACTCAGAGATACTGAAACATGTTCGAAGGGATCACAAAGGTATAAAATTTAATCTGCATATTTTAATGCCAATTGAATTCTCTCTGCCTCGTTTTCCAATGCTCCTTCACTTTATGGACAATACATTTATTAATTTCACTCAACCGTGAACTGTTCAATGTATTATATATGTGATTCTACTGCAAAGGGTGAAATGGACTTCAAAGATTAATGCACATGTATTCTATTGAGACCCAACCGAACATATGCAGCTTATGAAGCGTCGCGGTGGCCCACACCTCTGAGGTCATAGCCGTCTTGCGTGAATTATGCAGGACACTAGAGGGAATGTTTTGGTCCATTAGTGTTGTATGCAAAATGCCACAAATGTCTAAAATAGGAATCACTAATGTTTACCCGATATCTGTGTGCCATCCCAAAGCGCACAAATTCACCAAACATCTCCATATCAAACATGTAGGCCCTTCTCTGCATGGTCAGTGTATCGCAAATATACAAACATTTGTATATTGAATTGGAGTTTCAGAGATCCTTCTTTGCCTCCCAATATTCATGGCTATTGATTGAGGGAGACTGAAGCATGAGCGACGAGGGATCAGCTTCACCCAGGGGATCCGCCTTGTTCATATTTAGCACAAGAGCCACGGAGGATGTCTATGTCAAATTGTACGAGAAATTGTAACTCAATTTTATCCTTTTCTATATCTCTCTCCTCCATCCCCACAATTTGACATGCACATACACACAGAAGACGAAAAAGCTCCACATATTGTGAGTGGATCGACGGCAATGGGGAAAAAATCCGTCATTCACAATCTCTTAATATTCCTGTGAGATTTTATCATTCATTCTATATCTATTCTTCTCACATTCAGAGGGAACAGAGATCTGATTGGGAGTATGGGCGAAATTTCAACCCATGAACTTTTATTTCATCTTCCCAACACAACCCTGACATTCCACTGTCGAATCAATACATAAAGATTCTGTGTTGAGGATCAAGAAATGTGTCTATGGGAAAAAATTGGGGATGATATTGTGGAAACAATATATCCAAAATTGATTCAACTTCTTTCAGGCAACAATAGATAAATTTGCCCTTATGGGAAACTCCCTCAAGAGTTGCGGGGAGATCCCCAAAAGAATATCCATCTATATGTATGTCAATGTCTGTCTCTCCCCTCAATTCACACTGTTCACAAGCGCGCACACACACGGAGAGTTTCTTATGGTGGAAGAAATTTTGCATAAAATTGTAAAATAGGGAACATCCAAAAATAACTAACATAGCAGATAATGGAGAAAATATTGTGATATTCTCAAGAGATTCTCCCTTCGAGCACTTTCCTCAAACTTATCTCACGCCCGCCCAACTTTTCCCATCAATATTGTGAAATGTGGAAAATTTTGTCCTCCTCCTCATTACACCTTTCCCTCAACAAAGTCTCCCTTGCAACTTCATGGAAAACACCCAAGCTGAAAGATCACAAATCCGCCTACATGTAGAGAAGAGTCTCGGGTGTATATGATAGCACGTCCCGGAGGCAAAAATTCCTAAAGAAAATACAAATGAACACATACACTTCCTATTTGCATAATGACATTCATACGATACTTCCTGAATTTCCCTGAAATTCCCCGTGAAATACAACGTGCGTGAGTTGAGGAGAAGCTTTCTATGTAATTTGACTTTTTTGTGCCACCTAAACGCTCTTCTGCCTACAAATACACCAAAACACACTCCCACACACACGTATTCAATATTCATCCTCCAACGTCGGCTGTCTGTGGACACAAAACTCTGGTGGTGAATATGAAAGAGAAATTTTGCCACACCTCCAGAATAAATTACATTTTGCCGCACACAGAGTAAATTATTAACAGAAAAAGTAATACAATAAATGAGGGAATATGAGGTAAATTCAATAAAGGTAATTTGACACAGTAGGCACTGACGAGAGGAAAAGCCATATCGTATTTTTCACTCTGCTCCCACAATGATTAAGGAAACATTCTTTATGCAAAGTCCAAAACGAAAGTTGTGTAAAAGCCACGACATTTTCCACTCGTCAATAAATGCCAGTGAGAATGGTAAAATGAGTAAATCATGATGTTAAACTTTCTTCATTGAAAGTTCTTTACAAACTTTTTCTTCTCTTTCCCTTCATTGACAAAAAATAAATAGCAAACAAACACATATCTCACTTCATCCTTATAATGTATTCATTGTTCGAATACACTGGGAAAAAAAACAGAGCAGCAAAAAACTCTAAATAGTTGAGAAATTATTAGGGGAGAGTGGGGCAGAACGGGACTTGGGGTGAATTCGGACATCGCATTTCTTATCTAGATTTGCATTATTGGCTATGAAATAATGTTCTACCGTTATTTAAAGGCTTTCTTTATCATGCCTTTTGGATTACACTCTAGAAATAACTGAAGAATTGCAGTTCGAAATTACCCCAAAGTGGGGCAGTTTTGTACAAAATGCCATCAAATAAAAAACCCATTCTGTGCAAAACTCTTGGATTTCCTGACCCTGAGATAAAATGGTCTCTTAAAGCACATAACCAAGAGAACTCAAAATACCAAGTAGAATTTGCCTCCAACGTTTCATCTTTATGGAAATGCATAAAAAGTCGGCTCTCTTCTACACTGTTTTTAGCACATTCCGGTACTTTATCAATCTACGTCACTTTAACGTGACGCAAGTGTGCTTCTATGCCATAAAAAAAAGTATCGAAGGTCACTTCCAACTCACAAATTGCATAGTTAAACATTTCCATATAGTGTTTTATATTAATAGACAAATGATGCACATCCTGTTTAAGCCACAACATGTTCAGAAAGTTTAATTTTCAATATCACAAAACTCTCTCTCTCTCTCTCTCTCCCCTCCTATATGTTTCCCTTCACACACAATATGCAAATGATCGCATGACAAACTTTTCATATTAATTAAATCATTAAGAACTCATTATTTATGCACGTTGCGTTGACCTCATCACCCAAATTCATCGCATTCCTCGCATATGAACGTTTTTGACATGTGGTTAATAACGCTATTCATTGTCACCTACATACAATACAATACAATGCATTGTCAGTGAAGAAGACCTACCTGTAGATTTGGTGGACAGTGATCAAGGAGTTCCAGCATGTGCTTAATATTCTGCGCATCCTGAATCACAAAGTTGAGCTCCATGTCGAATTCACCCCCAACGAGCTGCAATAACACGGAAAAAAGAGAAAAATTCATTAATCCATTCATCCGAATTAAATGAATTTAATAGATATTTGAATTTAAAACAGCCATTTTAGGCACGCTAATTATATTGTCCATTGCTGTGGGAGAATTCGTGAAATATTTGCACCAGTGCAAATATAACCAATTCATAGGCAACCTGAAAAAAGACCATATTGTCGGTGCCCCCAGATCAATAACCATGCATTGAATATCTCCTGAAAATTTGCTATATGCGGCCGTTCTCTGTGACGAAAATTTATTCACGAGCGCCACACAGTTATATAATTCCTGAAAGCTTGCACTGAATATCAAACACAACGCTTGTGTCAGAGTTCATCATTACAGGCAGCTTGAAAATCTCTGCAGGGCAAATCAATAGCGAAAAGGGGTGACTATATGTGTTGGGAATTTCCATTAAAATGCGCCCGCCTCACCTTCAATGACACATGCTTTGCATTCATTTTTCAATCCCTCATTGTCGAATCAAGAGTTTTTAACAAATTACCAAAAAATCAACCGATCAGTGACCAATTAGTATCGATATATTACACAGATTGGCAAATTTATTCTGCCTGCGTCATGTTTAATCCATAAAAATGAAACAATACGTATTAATATATGATTGAATTGTACTTCAAAGGCCTAAAATAATTACAAATAATCTCCGGACAAGAAATATAAAATATATTATATATAATATATATATATATATATATATATATATATATATATATATATATATATATATAATATATATATTTAATAGGATAATTGCCCATAAAACCAACAGTCGATAAATTTATTCCCAAATCAATATCTCGACTGCATAATTTAATTATTTAGTTTTAGTTGCATAAACATCTTCATGCGAAAACAATTAATTGCTCAAGAAAGACTGTAGATTAAATTGACTATATAATTAATCAGACACTTAGCATCGAATTAATATCAGCAGCGAGTCATTTATCAGTGCCGCTACAATACAGGCAACTTAAAGAGTCTTGAATATCCTGAAGAGGGATCAAATTGAAGGAACATGAAAAATCGCAGAACATCCATTACATTTTGCTGCTGAAGAGGAAATTTTTGCTGAATTTCTTCACTGGACACCAACTGTCTGCAAAACTCTCCAAAGGGAGAGAAAGAGAGACGAATAGCGAGAGTTCATTAAGTAATTGATCAACTCCAGAAGGACATCCACTGGGAAAATATGAACATTCCACCCTTAAAACTTCGTGCATTCTCCTGTAGCAGATTACATTTAAGGGCCACCATCGTGATTAGGAAAGTGATGCAATATTTGAAAGTAGAATAAAGGGAGCCACCACTCAGCTCTTGAATTATTTATGAACTATCAACGAAAACTGTAGACACACAGAGCATCCATGGCAATCCAACTATTACATATAATATCATCTCTTCATGTGTGCTTTCCTATCAAATATTATATGAAGAACAAACACACATTGCAGAGTGAATAAAAGGAAAAAAAGATGCCTCTTTTAGATGGAAACGAGACAACTTCCCTGTGAGCTGCTTACACCAATTCGCTCATCTTATATTTTCTCTGGATGTTATTCTTCAAAAAGAATTTCAATATTTTCCCTTCCATTTGCGAAAACACGAACAAGTGAATGAATCGCAAAGCAAAAGAGAGAGAAGAGGAACAAAATCCGCTTATCGGAATCAATCAAACCAAAATCGGATAGACAAGTAAAAAAAACACTTAACCAAGAAACATTCCTACATGAATCAAGGAATAAATATATATAGTGAACATGGCAGAGAGAAAATGAATAAATACTCAACATGATTCTATAAATAAGAGTGATTAATATGTTTTCTTTGATAAAATTCTCAAATATAATTTAGCTTTTCCTGTATAAAATACAAATTATTTGCATTTCAAATCATTCAGTGGAAAATTGAGGCAAAATTCAAACACTCTAGCCTTGATATGTCAAAATGTAATGGAATAATTTAGCACACATTCACTGAAATACCATCCCTGAATCGCCAAACAACACCACTCAACAACATCCAGTGGAGATGAGAATCACTGTCAGGCAATACAAAAAACTTTTTCAATTAAATTTCCGATAAAGTATAAGTAATTTGAAGCCATCGAATCGTTTTCACCTCAAACTTCTCTCACAATTCACAATCATATTGTAAATCATGTCACGCAAAAAATTGTGAAATTGATAAAAATCAGTAAAATATGTTCCTCACATGCGGTGCACGAGAGTCAAGAAAAACTTCATGATTGAATTTTTCTTTTCAAGGGATAGAAAAACCATGAAGAAAAATAAATGTGAAAGTTCTCCAAAATTGATTTTTTCTCATCACATTAAGACACCCGGGAAAAATGATTTGATGCTGCAGTAAATATACTTTTTCTTCCTTATTTTTCTCTCTTCCGCTCTTCCATCAATATTTTGAACGACTCATTCTTTGTGTTCACAAGCATTTCTCTAATCAAAACGCTAAAATATCGATTTACTTCTCTTCACATTCAAACTTTCTGTAACGAGTTGTTTGGCAAAAAAGCACAAAGTTGTGTACTTTTCTATACAATTCCAACAATTGTTACTACCAAATTCTACTATTTGTGATGGATTTTCGTCATCATTCACTCCAAGATTTTCCAACTTTCATCGCAACTATGCTTTGGGAAACGAATAAATGTCATTCGAAAAAAAAAGTTGAATATTGTGCAAAAATAAGTCCGGAGAGATTTTCATCTCTTGCAAAATGCACGCTGAAATCAGTTGGGAAAATGAGTGAGTGGAGAAAAATCTGTTGAACCGATTAAAAGCATTGACAAGGGCGAGTCTGTGCGATCGATTAGACAGGAAAAACCAACCCTTTGGCATTTTATAGAATAACCACGAATAATTCCTGCTTAAAGCCTTTTCCTGCACATATTCTCAATAATCCGTGCACCAGTGCAGGAAGCGCTTCGTAATCCCAGACATATGTAAGTTGCTGTATGAAAGCCATGATTATTTTGGCAACTTTGCTGAAAACTTACAGAAGCTTCCTAAAAGCTTTTCATTTGCAATATCCCGGATTTATCCCGCAAATACAACTCTCAAATCCTGTATATGGTAAATGTCCATTTGAACTTTATGCGTAAAATATTGCGGTGAAGAGTGTTTTGCAAAAAAATATACACGCATGTTCAAGTCACTTGAGTGAGAGAGAGTAAATCCTCACTTTTTGTTGTTCCGCACATGCCAACATTTTGTGTCCCAAAGATTACCACAAAATACACCCCATAATGGTTGTTTTTGCCACAGACATTTTCCATTGAGTGTCACGCTCATTTAGGATGATGGCCCAATGTACAGAACAGCAATATCAAGTGTGTGACCGAAAATAATTTAGCAGCAGCCGGAGTGAATGGAAGCATTCGTCTCCCAGAATACACACACAATCCATCCGTCTTGCAAGTTTCATCTTCATATATCCCGGCCCTCCTGTCGCAATAACACTGTATGATTTGGCGTCTCGTGTACTATAAATATAAATTCCCATTATGATATAATCTCGTTAATAAAATCAAGACTATGGAAGAGATTCAGTGAACCACAAAAGGCAGCCAGAGAGTATCGTACAAAAACGAATCTTAATATTATTTCCGCTCTCCTAAATCCGTTTACCCCTATAAAACCACCGCATCTCCCCCTTCACCTCTTGACTCCCTCGCATCTTCACATCATTCCCACCCCCACGATTCCCCGTACATAACATTCACAGACCCCATCGCTCGTGTCACAAATTTTCCCCCCAATTCACTTCGTGATTCCTCACTGGAGGCCAAATGTGTACACCCCAGGCCCATAATATGTATTGCCATTGAGGCCTGTGTCGTTCTTTTATGCTCGTCATTAATCCTCGACTCTCTTAATCCGAAGCGCCATATATATATAGCAGCAGTCAGGCAAATTCGCTATATATCTCGCACACTTTCCATCGTGACACCCAAGCTTCCTCATCTCACCAACTCTTTCCCTCTCGCCATCGCAAACAATCTTGCGGACCAATGGCAAACCTTTAGATGAACGCGAAGCTCCACAACTTTCTAAATAAGCTCTTTTCCATCTCTATCGCTGTGGATGCCATCGACGAGAACAACAAAAAACACCCATTAACCCAGCAGAATGCCTTTCAAGTGACCTTCTGTGTGGCGATAAATCGCACTTCCCGATAACACATTACGAATACTGCTATTTTACGACGATCTAATGTCTTTGCCTTAACTTAAAGCGAAATAAAATGCGAAAGAGCACTTAATATTAGTACATTTTTCTGCTTTATTTCAAATCATGTGTTCAATCAAAAGCAAATTGACTAATATAACATATTTTTCATATTCCTTGTTTGACTGGGAATCTCATTTCACTAATTCTTTAGCAATTTTAACCATTAAAGGGTCATCCGGGGTATCTTTCAATATCTCCCGTTTTCCATTACTTGTGAAATCTCTCAATTGAAATCCCCTAACATTACTAGAGAGTGGAAGTAAACACTTCATCTCCGATCAGGAACTCCGTCGCTGATCCGGTAAATTTTACTGAACGGAAAGGGGGAAGGAGAAAAAAGCACCGCACAATGTGGTTAATGGAAAGATTAAAAGGGGACACGAGATTGTAGAATTCAATAAAAGAGAATCTACTGTGACTTAACCCAACAAACAATCCCCAACGCACACACACACACACACACACACACACACACACACACAGTCAACCTCACGGCGGAGCTTTAGTCGCAATATCCATAGAGAAAAGCTCTCATCCGCGGGGCATCTCAAGTGAAAAGATCCTTGTCAAAAAATTCATTTAATTTTCTGCCTGGCGTCGAGACAGCCCAAAACACCAATTAATTTTTTTCCTCTCTCTCTCTCTGTGCAGAGACAACATGCTCAACTGTATTTTGGATATATTTATGTAATAGGGAAATGCCTTTTCATG